CTTGACCCCGGGAACTTGATAAACTTGAATCTCTGTGCCATGGAGTAGTCTGGGTTTAAACCTTAAACCCTGCAGGGACTCAGGAAGATAAACCCTACACCATCGGTCTTAGCCTCGCAGATTTTAAGCTGGTTCAGGGGTCACCAGACAGGGTAGGGTAGGCGAGGCAAATGTAACTTCAAAGTCAATGTGGCTAAAAGGCAACCAAGAGTGCCTGGGCCTGGAGCACTAGGGAGTGCGTCCTGCTTCAGCGCGGTGGGAACTGCGAGAGGCCTCTGAGACCGCACTCCCACCCCTGGCAGTTTCTCTGAGACGGTCTTGCTGAGGTCTCCTCTGACCCTTCCAGAAGCGACCTTCCTGGCTGTACTCCTCCAGCCCGCAGAGTTTCCAAGGCTTTCAGGGAGTTCGCTTGTTTTCAGAGCAGCTCCCAAGCTCAAGTGTACGTTGTGTTTGGCAAACTTTGATTTTATTTTTCAGAATGCTCTGAAACAGATAAATCGAAACACGCAGACTCAGTTCTCCCTCTGAGCAAACACACATCGCTACCCAAATCCAGGCTTTGCCTAACTGTTTAATCTAGATAAGCAATAAACTATCAGAGCAGTAGAACTAACAAAGAGGAACTCCTTACTTTGCTCTAGATTATATTCCGTTCTGATTTCAAATTTCAAGCAACTATTAGGGTAATAGCTAAGACACTTAAGTATAACCTAAAAATTACTTTGATATGAAGCTCAATGCTCTAAATTTCAATGCGGTGCTGCTTGCTGAATATTTTAGAATCCGTTCAAAGCCGTAGGTGTGTTCCTTCCAGCGATAACAAAACTGTATTCATCTTTACGCACTGTGCTCTGGTGTGGTTATATCTGGTATCCAACATTTAGTCGAAAATGTGCCCTTTCCTGACGTGTTGGCTAACGGGCTTCCATGAGCTAACCAGTCCAGCGCCGGAGCTGCACAACCCTGCTACGGCCATGACCTTCCCTTTATCTCCCTCCAACAGCGTGGGTAACTTACAGTGCCACTCTCTGAAACTATGCAGATTTGGGAATTCTAAGGGTCGTCTGTGGGTCAGGAGATTTCGCCATGGGTGATTTCCTACTCCCAATGCCCCGGGCAACACGACGGTTCTTATTTTGGCTTTCCCTTTCCAGCTTGCCAGTTGCACTCCCGGGCCCTTTCCCTCACTCTTTGAGGAATGAAGTTGAAGTGCACAATTTCCCCCAGAGCTCCTGCGATCAGGCGACACAAAGTGAGCGGCTGACGTCACCTCTCCGCGTGGCTAGAAACCAGGCGGCGGTTTCACACAAGTGAGCCGGGATTGCTGAGGCCATGACTAAGGGTTGGCGACGATTAAAGCAGGTAACGAGACATAGGGCAGATGTGTTTTCATTGCGCTGTAAGATAAATGCAGTGTTAAGTGCCTGACAACTTCCCAGAAGCAATCAGCAAAAGTTTACGAGTGCATAAACCTCAAAGACCATTCCCCGACGGTTGTTATAAGGACCATGTTTAGAGCTTCTATAAATTCTCTGGCGGTTTCCCAAAGCAAAGTTTCCAGCGACTGTTAAGCAGCCACTTCCTCCGGGGAGACCGGGGGGGGGGGGGGGGATTTTCTTGAATCTCAAAAAGAGGCTTTTTTTTTTTTTTAAATAAAGTTGTGCAAGTTTTTTCCAGAAGTTTGGATGGATGGAAAGCAACCGGCATCAGGGAAAGAACGCGACTGGCCCTCGGGTGCTGCGTTATCTGAGATCTGCGAAAACCCAAGGTTTTGTGAGGATCTTGGGTCTTATTGGGCGGGGCAGGCTGAGCCTTTCCAATTCTGGGCGTCACCCTTCGTCTGCCACCCTTTCAGGTCACAGCCCGGCACGACACCCACCGCTCCCATCCTGCCCCGGTACAGGTAGATCTGAAGCCCCTCCAGTGCCTACTGTTGGACCCGCAGGAACGCGGGCGTCCTGAAGAAAGTTCCAGACCAGCACGAAGACAGGAAAATGGAAAATTAAGTCAGACATGAGGGGACGTGTAGACACCCCGCCCAGAGTCACATTTTTTCTGTCCAAAGCAAAGTTTCCAGCGACTGTTAAGCAGCCACTTCCTCCGGGGAGACCGGGGGGCGGGGGGATTTCTTGAATCTCAAAAGAGGCTTGTTTTTTTTTTTAAAAGTGCAAGTTTTTCCAGAAGGTTGGATGGATGGAAAGCAACCGGCATCAGGGAAAGAACGCGACTGGCCCACGTGCTGCGTTATCTGAGATCTGCGAAAACCCAAGGTTTTGTGAGATCTTGGGTCTATGGGCGGGGCAGGCTGAGCCTTTCCAATTTCTGGCGTCACCCTGCGTCTGCCACCCTTTCAGGTCACAAGCCCGGCACGACACCCACCGCTCCCATCCTGCCCGTACAGGTAGATTGAAGCCCTCCAGTGCCTCTGTTGGACCCGCAGGAACGCGGGCGTCCTGAAGAAAGTTCCAGACCAGCACGAAGACAGGAAAATGGAAAATTAAGTCAGACATGAGGGGACGTGTAGACACCCCGCCCAGAGTCACATTTTTTCTGTAAAAGTAGCCCTGGAACTTTGATATGTTAGCATCATCCGACTGCACAGAACCAACCTACGTTTATAGAGAACTTTTGTTTATGATCCCACTGAAAACAAAGCTGGTAATTGAAAAACAATAATGCTAGCATGTCTTTAGCTTCCTAAAGGGAAAGGTTAACAGCTGCTAGAGCCAGGGGAAGGAGGGAGCCAGCGAGCTACGAGCAAGGGTTCGCCCTGCCTTTGGCCCCCCCAGCGACACACGTGGGCGGGCCTCGGATAGCGGCCTGGGTTCCAGGCAACAGAGCCTCCGGCAGTCCGCCTGCTCTTTCTCAATCTTTGGGTTCCAGTGTCTGAAGGATCCACGACTGTTGTACTGTTTCTGTCCCCTGGACATAAATCTCATACAATTATTTTGTGTTGGGCCCCTTTTTCATTCTTTCCAGGTGAGAATGCAGACATTTCTGGGTCGCCCTTGCCCTTCCTTCAAGAAATAAGGCGACCAACTGTTCTGACATTACCATTCAAAAACAGGTTCTATGGCGAACCTCATTTGTGAATCTATTACAGAGATTAATAGATTATTTCTCCTTTTTCAACTAATTCTCAGTGGGGAAATTTAACCATATGGTAAGGAGAGAATTAGAATTTCATCACATTAGAGCAAAATGTAATGAAAAGAGTCCAACACCTGGGGCCAACTCTGAAAGCCACAATTAAAAGGTTTTTAATGAAACCAGAGAAACCCAAAACTGCACAGCCTTCAGTAATTCTGCCACATAAGGGAGAATTATTGGAGATGTTGGGAAATATTGTTTTTACTTATGTCATAAGGATGAAAACCAGCTGCTAAATGCCTTGTGCTCCCAGACTGAGGAAGCGCGAGGACCGCTTGTACTGGTTCCCATCCTGAGAGGAGCCCTAGCTTTCATAGTTCTGCCTTAACTAACCCTCTAAAAACAGCCCAGGCGGATCCAGATGTCCCTAATCGGCTTCCTAGCTGTGGGGGCTCTGTTCCCTGCTAAATAAGTATGCACAAATGCCCCCACTTGGTGTGTGAGATGATTTGACTCCTAATGTTCACTCTTCCTTGAGAAAACTGTATTTTAATTTTGAGGGAAGTTTGAGAAACCAGTAGAAACTGGTTTTCTATTCAGGAAAATGTCACCATAGCAGTTATTTGGATACCACTGCATAAGCCCTACCAGCCTCCTTTTCTGTCTTATTTTTCAAATCAAATGGGCTGCAGAATCAATTTGATCTTCATTTTGACCTTTTTTTATTTCTCATTTTTCTCACCCGGGTAGGAAATGGGCAGGAGAGGAGTGAGTGTGGTGGCGGGGAGGCAATGTTGGGTGTGTGTGGTGGTGGTGGTGGTGGTGTGGGTAGTGAATTGCTTTGCTCTCTTAGTAGCTGAAAATTGGGCAAGCCAACTGGGACACCACTTCCCCCCCACTCCCCACCCCGCGAAAGTGCCAAATCCAAACCCAGACCCCCGACATCCTATGAACAGGACAGGGGTGGAGTATAATGCTCGCCCGGGAATCGTAATTTACCACAAGCTGAGACAGCAGTGGTGAGGGAAGGGCAGTGGAGAGGGGGGAGGGGTGCGACGGGTGGGGGTGTCTGCTTTCCACGGGACTCCCATGCTTCGCCGCAGATCTACAATTTGCTGAAGAAGCAAAGAACATCCTCGGCTCTAAGTAGGGCTTTTAGTGTGCTCATTGATGAGTGAAAGTCGCCACACATGTCAAGCTAAAGGCAGTTGTTGGGTTACTAACAGGACCCAGCGCCTTGCAAACATATGCGCTAAGCTGTGTATACAGATGGCAGGCAGAATAATGGAGCAGGCGCCTTTTATAAAGCTCTAGCTGCTGCCTGTCTTCAGACCTGGGAAATGAAACTATTCAGACTCGCGGCCAGATAGCGCCTGCGATTGTTTGTTACCGTTTTAATCCTATTAATTAAAACGTTAACCTGATTGGGTAGAAAGCGCTGTCCCAACAGGCGAGTCTTCTTCATAATAACCTACTCAGAGATAATGATGTAAAAGACTCCCCCGTCTGTGGCGGCGGCTGGTTGATGGGTCCGGAAATCTCTTGAAGGTGAATCCAAGCAAGATAAACGGTGCGGAGAGGAGGCGCGGGGCTGGGCTCAGAGCGGCGGCGGCGGCAGCTCCACTCCCTCCGCGCCCACCCTCCCACCATGCGGGGCCGCGGCCCATGGTGAGCCCCAGCAGCCAGCACCATCGGCTGGAGACGAAGAAGAAGAAGAAGAGGAGGCGGCGAGCGCGGGGGAAGGCGAAAAAGAAAAAGAAAGAAGGGGAGAGAGCTGTCGCCAGCACCGGGACCAACCCGCGCACCAGCTCCGGAGCCCGGCTCGAGCGCGTCTGTGCGGCCGCCTGACTCCCGAACCGAGGCGGCGGCGGCGGGCGCGCCGGGCCCGGGCTGCGCGCCGGCACCGGACCATGGAGCGCGGGCTGCACCTCGGCGCGGCGGCCGCGGGCGAAGACGACCACTTCCTGCACAAGAGCCTGAGCGCCTCCACCGCCAAGCGCTTGGAGGCGGCTTTCCGCTCCACGCCCCCGGGCATGGACTTGTCCCTGGCGCCGCCGCCTCGGGAGCGGCCGGCGTCCTCCTCCTCGTCGCCCCTGCGCTGCTTCGAGCCGGCTGACCCCGAGGGGGCAGGGTTGCTGCTGCCGCCGCCTGGAGGCGGTGGCGGCGGAGGTGGCGCGGGCGGTGGCGGCGGCGGGGTGAGTGTCCCCGGGCTGCTCGTGGGCTCAGCCGGTGTTGGGGGTGACCCGAGCCTGAGCAGCCTGCCGGCCGGGGCCGCCTTATGCCTCAAATACGGCGAGAGCGCGAGCCGAGGCTCGGTGGCCGAGAGCAGCGGCGGTGAGCAGAGCCCCGACGACGACAGCGACGGTCGCTGCGAGCTGGTGCTGCGGGCCGGAGGCGCCGAGCCGCGGGCTTCCCCCGGCGCGGGGGGCGGCGGCGCCAAGGCTGCAGAGGGCTGCTCCAACGCCCACCTTCACGGCGGCGCCAGCGTCCCCCCAGGGGGCCCCGGCGGCGGCGGCGGCGGCGGCGGCGGCGGGGGTAGCAGCGGTGGTGGCGGCGGTGGCGGCAGCAGCAAGAAATCCAAAGAGCAGAAAGCACTGCGACTGAACATCAACGCCCGGGAGCGCCGGCGGATGCACGACCTGAACGACGCGCTGGACGAGCTGCGCGCGGTGATCCCCTACGCGCACAGTCCCTCGGTGCGGAAGCTCTCCAAAATCGCCACGCTGCTACTCGCCAAGAACTACATCCTCATGCAGGCGCAGGCCCTGGAGGAGATGCGGCGCCTTGTCGCCTACCTCAACCAAGGCCAGGCCATCTCGGCCGCCTCCCTGCCCAGCTCGGCGGCCGCGGCGGCGGCGGCTGCTGCCCTGCACCCTGCGCTCGGCGCCTACGAGCAGGCGGCCGGCTACCCGTTCAGCGCCGGGCTACCCCCAGCCGCCTCCTGCCCGGAGAAGTGCGCCCTGTTCAACAGCGTCTCCTCCAGCCTCTGCAAACAGTGCACGGAGAAGCCTTAAACACACCCCCGAAAAACACAAGACCGACCCAAAAGCTGGAGGAAAGCGAAAAGCTGCTCCCCACCCCTTTTATTTCGGTCCTCCCCTAGTTGTGAAACTTGCAGAGCAAACAAAAGCAGAGGCAAGAACTGAGAAATATCAGAGACACACAGGACTTGTAGCCTTGACATCCCCCAGAATCTTGGTCTTTGGGGTGGGGTGGGAGGGAGGGAAGGTGGAGTTGGGACAGAGTATGGATGTCTTTTTTTTTTTTCTCAGAAAAGTGGCAACTTTGGTGGCAGCCTAGACCGCAAGGAAGCCGAGTCTTCCTTAAAGCAGAAAAATAAGTTGGGAAGTACCGCATTGCTTGGTTATCGTGGAGAGTGTTGAATGGTAAAATACTAACCCTACTAATTGTGGAATTTGGCTAGTGCTGAGGGGAGAGGAGGAGTCCTGGGTTGGGAGGCATGTGGGACGGAATATACATTCAGACAAATCAGAAAAGGCACTTGAAGATAAATTTTGATTCTGAGCCAGGAGAAAAACTTGAAATGTAGACTTATTTAAGTGGGGGGAAAAACAGAGCGAGACATGTTGCTATGAAAGACTTGTATTTTTTATTGTCTCTGAACTTTAATCCTGTGAAAATGCTCGAAGTTTTGGCGAGAGTGATATAACAAAACTGACTGTGGCTGAAAGAATTGCATTTAAAAAATATTTATGTGCACCTTGTTACTTTTTACTCTGCAATGACGTATTAACGATTCATGGGTATTTATTTGTTATTCTTCTATGATCCTTCCACATCAATAGTATTTATCATGTGTTAAGGTCATGGGTTTTATGTGCAGATTTTTTTAATGCCTCTAAAATTCTGTTTTATAGATTAACTTATACTGTGTGCCAAGTGTTTAAAGGTTTATTTGCCAACAAGTATGAAGAGAAATATCGATGTATCTGAGCTGCTTAGGTTTTTGAAAGATCACCTGGATATTTTCAGTTGCATCATCCCTGTATTTAAATTGAGCTTTAATAAATTGCTTCAGTCCAAAAATTACAGGAAAGGTGTATTCTTAATTGATGAATGAATTGATCTCTTTTTTTGAAAGGGGACTTCTTTGCATTCCAAAAGGGAAAAACATCACAGCAATAGATACTCTAAGTAAGAACCTGCTAAGCAAATTTTTTTTCAGGCTTTGCTGTGCATTTTTAAAGGTCTAATTTAATTGCTTTTAATATATATGTACATATATAAGTTATTTTAACTGTGGAGAATTATTTAAGTTAAAAGGCTGGTTTGATTTGCCTGTGGTGTGAAATTCTTTGTTATTTTTCTAAAAAAATAAAGTAAAAATTTAAAAGAAATAAAACTAAGGAAGAGCAAGAAGCTATTTACCCAAAGTGAGCTTTTCAGTTT